CTCACCGTTGCGGCAACCAGATTCTCGTGCCTGGCACCCGATGCCCGCTTTCCGCTTGGAACTATAGTCTTTCAACGCACCCCTTCAAAAGTGCGCAATAATATTAATCTACCTAAGACTCTGTTGTCTGCGCGGGTGCGTTGACTTCTCTTTGATAAACCTCGTGCATACCTCGGTCATCGGCGCTTGCACAAGCTTTACACGTGATGCAGCCATAAATCAATAGTGCATCTCCCCATCTCTACTCTACCACCCCCTAAACCGTGACTTTGTCTTGGCAGTACTCTTCAAGGGTGCCAGTAAGCGTCCAAATGCACGATGTATCGGATTCCGATATTTTTTTTTAGATCGCTCTGGAACAGGTTCACAACCTGGCTTATACTGAGATTATATTCTGGAGCAGAGGCTCGCATTCACTCAGCCGATTTGTGCGAACTTTGCTTGAGAGCGAGGACAGGTCCGCCAATGGTGTGGGCCAAGTAATACAGAGGTGCCTTGAGGCACACCAACAGTCTCCGTATACACCTCGTGAGTGGTTAGGTAAGCCCTGTTAGCAAATGACTGCACTATGATGCCAATCGTTGAACTGTTCTTCATTCACTTACAGAACACGTTAGTGACCATGAACATGAGCAGACTGCAGAATGTGTGGCATTTCAACATGTCTATGCTGAATTTTTCAGCCACATATCAGACTGCGACCCTCACCTGACAGTAGTGAACAGTCTCTACTCTGCTGGTCTCATCGACAGGACCACGAGAGACAGTCTAACTGACCCTTGCAAGCAGAGGGTGAGCCAAATCCGGTGCCTGCTAGCTCGGCTGGAAGGTCTGATCGAGACCAGACCATGTGTCTACCACCAGCTAGTGGATCTACTCGAACAAGAGGAGTTCAACCAACTGGGACAACTACTGAGAGAAAGTTATGGTACGTAAGCAACACGAATGCAAGCAAGAATGTTTTTGATTTGACGTCATCTTGATGGGGATGGGGGCAGATATAACACAGTGTAAGACACGCATTTCTCATGAAACTGTAGTGGGGGAGTTTTAAACAACAACATGGTGTTGCATCATCCATCTTGCATCACTAAGTTGCCATGACTACAAATACCACTTCTGCATGACTGAGTGAAAGACTATACTATAATTATTCAACTGCTTTACTTGCACATTCCAAACCAGATAACTTTACAAGTCATAACACCATTATAAATTTTATGCAGCAACATGAGTTGTAGCATAGCTAACATTACTGACACTATAGAACATGGCTGATGCAATAACATCATTAACCCTCGGCGCGCATGCGCAGCGAGGGTTACGGTAGTTGTCCCGTAAGTGTGTCCGTCAGTCTGTCGGTCTGTCAGTCTGTCTGTTACCACGTTTTCTGCCACCACGCGCACGAAATCAAGTAAATAGCGATATGATCGGGTTCAGTGCTACACTGGGTTGATTTTTAAAAAGGTGATTTTCGTAAAACTACTGCGTTCTAAAGTTATGGCGTGAAAACCAAGTGAACAAGCCAATATGCAAATTAGCACAGGCTTACCTCGACCGCGTCCGCTCGCTCTGTGTATCTTGAAGGCACAAGAAGTCACAACGAAGGGCATGTATCGACTCCCGCATGCAATCTACTACTGTAGCTAGCCCGTGCCAGACTCTCCGCGAGCTACTAGCGGGATAAGAGTAAAGAAAAGCCCAGCCCTCCAATTAGTGGTACCGCGCATGCGCAGTTCGCCGAGGGTTTGCACTTTAGTGCTTTTCATGTGTATACATTTATAGCAGATCATGAATAATACACACTTGTCGGATTATTCAAACTACAACATGCTGTATGGCATTAATATTGCGACAAAGCAAAATTCACAGACAAAACTCTTCCAGATTTCTAGCAAATAACTAGCCATGGACACAAAATGTGAATTTATAAGGCGCCACACACGATTTTCTGCTTAATACCAAAGGACGATGTAAATGTACCCTCCTACATACAACATTTTGCGGAGAAAGGTTTTGAAATCCATGAAATTTCATGGTCTCCCACTGTATATACAGCTTCCTATCTTGAAAACAGGCAGTTGAAGAAGTAAACACACCAATGTACATTTCCCATGCTCAATAAAGCAACTAACTGAAAGTAAACTAGCACATTATACACAATGATGCAGTTGAAACTGTTGGACCACTATATACACAAATGCACTATTACCTGAACAAAACGCGTTTTAGTATTATGCATGCTGCCATGAGTAATGCAGTGTGAATAATAATGTTAATACGTTATTCATCACCGATATTACTTCAATTCTCTACAGATAAACAACTGGGGCAGGATGGTAGAGGTCATATCATCCTCTCAGAGATAGTGGAGCGAGATTCCTGTGTGCCTCAACGCTCTTCTGCAATGAGGGACTATCAGGAAGAACTTCAGAGACGCTACATGCCAGCAGGAGGACAACAATCAGTGGAGCACAAATGGCCAGGGAATTTCATCCAGCAGGTTATACCCACCAACCTAGCAAGGATTACTAGAGAGAAGGTCTACCGATCTACAGCAGATGCCTTCACCCAAACCACGCTACACGGCAATATTGACGAAATTGACCAGAGTAAAACCCCCATTAGCAAGGAGCGCCTCTTTGAGGGGGACTCAAGGTGTGTTATAGCACAAGGGGCAGCTGGGATAGGCAAGAGCATGTTTGCCCGAGAGCTGGCAGGCGATTGGGCAGCTAACAAGGGGGCTATGAGGCAGTTCCAGCTGCTCTACCTTGTCCCGCTTCGCTCCACCTGCTTCCACAATGCTTCCACGGTCTTCGACTTGCTTCATCCGAAGCCAAGCCTGTCGGTAGAGGGAGAGATAGTAGCCAGCGAGGGAGAAGGGCTGCTACTTATTCTAGACGGCTTTGATGAGCTTCCAGAAGCACTACAAGAACGAAACTCAGTATACGGTCGCTTGATATCAGGCCAGGAATTACCCAAAGCACGCATTCTCATAACCAGTCGACCAAAGGCAGTAAAAGCTATCGAGCGTCTTATGGGCTCTAGGAGCAGGCAGGCAGTGAATGTGGAGATCCTGGGCTTTCAAATGCAAGACATAGAGTCCTGTGTACAAGCTATGCTCACAGAGGAATCCCAACAAAAGGCATTCCTAAGGTACATTGAGGAGAATGTTGTCATCAAGAACATGATGTACATCCCTCTTCACACTGGAATTGTCGTTGAGCTTTTCAGGCAAAGGTTTTCTACAAGTCGGAATGAACCACTCGACACTAGAAACTATGCAATGACCCTTACAGAGCTCTTTAGAGACCTGTGCAGGTGTTTGCTCTACCGCGACATTGCTTCAAAACAACCAAACGATGCCCCGTCCTTTGGCGAATTGCAGCTAGAAAGCCTTCCCTGTGGTGTCAATAGCTCTTTTGAAACCCTATGCTCACATGCGTTTGACTCACTTGCCCAGCAGAAGTTGATATTTGAAAAGCTCCCAGCAAGCTTTGACCACATGGGTTTCATGAGAAGTGTATCAGTCCAGGCCTGCGGACTCTTTACTCAGCCACGCAATTCGTTTTCTTTCCACCACCTCACTATCCAGGAGTTTATGGCCGCTTTCCACCTGTGGCAGACACAGCAGCCTCTGAGGCAACTGGAAATGGTTCAAAAGCTCCCTACCGACCATCGAAGCATGGTACTGAGGTTCCTAGCTGGTCTGTCCCAGTTCAGTCAGGTTGGCTGGCCTCTGGCGATGGAGAGTGTCGGGATCTGTCTGGACTCACAGGGCAACCGAGGCTGCAACTCTACTCTCCTCAACTGCCTGTTCGAGGCACAGGATCCTAGTGCCTGCATGGAGGTTTTTCCCAGCCAACACACTATCAACTTCTCACCCATGACTTTGACCCAGTTTGACTGCTTTGCTCTGGGCTACTGCATAGCCAACTCGGGTGAGGGCTGTCGGTGGAAGCTGTGTGCTATTGGTGGGCAGGACCTTGGTGCTATTGCTGCAGGCATGCGCTCGGTAGATAGCGATCCTCGGGGGAGAATCGACCTCATAAAGCTCAGCTATGACGGGGAGGACATTCATAACCTCGGTCTTCTCCCGGAATGTGTGACCAGGGGGATCAGAGAGCTCAATCTCAGTAACTGTGGCCTCAACGACGAGGCCTGCACCTGGCTGTCAAGATTCTTGCCGTCTCTCCCGTCATTAGGGCAGCTTGATGTGGGGGACAACCCCTTCGGGGATGGAAGTGCTAGCAAGATATTCATTGCTCTTTCGAAACTCAGTGGTCTCCAGTACCTAGATCTTCTACATGCGCAGCTGGACGAAACAGACATAGAAGCTCTTCAGGCCCTTGTAAAGAAAAACGGGACACTCAAGAACCTTATCATCGGACGCTGTCAAATGCCGCCCAGTCTGGTCGAGAAAATGGTTGATGTCGTCCTGTCCCAGTCTTGTCTCGAGAGTATCAGTTTCATGAACATAGACCTCCCTCGGCTCGCAACACACCTCGCAAAAAGACTGGAGAACAATACGACGCTGGAGTCAATCATGCTCTGGGATCGCTCGTTCTGCACCGACGGTGCTCTCAAACTCCTGCAGTGTCTGAAGACCAACAAGACCCTTGTCTCTATGACTCTAATGCCGTGGTACGAGAAGAATATCCCCGAGCATGTTCTGTCACATCCCTCCATCAAGGGTCGCGTCCAGTGGTTCATTTATCCCAAACGAAAGAGACCATAAACAAACAATCATAGCCACTTCATGCACGATCTCTTTTCCTAAATTTAATTTTCTACAGCCTGGCAAATAATGCTCCTTTTAATGGTGAATGTTGTATACAACTTCAATTCATAAGGCAGAGAGCACATTAAATTTTGTTAAAACAGTGTTTGTGAAGCAACAATGTTTGGGGGTACGGTTTGTGGTACAAAATTACATCTTGTTTACTTGATTACTGGACAGCTGTCTACTTCATATGGTGCCTTTTCCAAAGGGAGACTTAGCCTTTCGACACTGAGCAGAACATGAGGGCACAAGAAAAGTTTTGACAACACATGCAGTGGACTCTTTAATATAGACAGGAAAAGGACAAAAGAGAGTATCTGTATTATTGAGGTGTCCTTATTTCCAATGCATGCTATATAGAACAGTATACTTAGCAAAAAGGTAGGGAAGTGTCCATACTGTCTTTAAAGGGGAGTTCCACTGTAGTTACACATTTATTATGGACAAGTCTATACCTTGATGGCTATCCTTGATGTTGGATTGCAGTAGAGTAGAGCCAGACCAAGTAGCAGCAATGCACTGTAATCACTGTTACTGCTATGGCCGATGCTGAGAGAGTAGAGGAGGAGGAGGGACTTCCAGTGTCTGCAGTGGTTAGGGAGAGAGCCCGCTCAATAGTTATCTCTATCACATGTGAGGAGGGTGACTATAGTCTCTGTTAAACAGCAATATATGTGCACTGAGAGACTACGTAGACGTGTAAATGACAGTAAACTTTGTCTCGGCCAAAAATTGCCAGACAAATCCATTAACCATTTGGACGCCATGGGTATATGCTTAAGTAAGCAGAAATTGATGTATAAAGTACTACAACCTAGTATTATAACTCCCATATAAATTCTTGTCGACTTATGAAGGCTCAGGACACATTTTGTGTGTCTCCGTGGCTGGTTAAGTGTCAATATACTGCCACCCTGCTGCACATGATGTAGATTACAACATTGGTGCAAACATCTAATGGAGCAAAGTTTAGATCTCAAGACTTGGGGTGGACACAGGAATTGTGAAAAGGGATGGATGTGAGAGAGAGTAAGGAGAGAGGGAAGACAGTGCATGAGGAACTTTACCATAATTATTTGAAAATTGAAAATGCAAACATCTCTACATTGTGGTTATACCAGTGCATGAAAAAATCATACTCTGTGGAAGGTTAATCGATGTGGCCAGTGGAAGGCTTGTAACAGGAGATGTGGTAAGTGGTGCAGCAGTGAATGACGTGGTATTCAGACGAATTGTGGTAGGTGTGACTAAAGTTGTTGCTGCAAAAGGAGACGTGGTGGGTAAAAGCAATTTGTGGTTATATATACCAGTGCAGGAATTGAGACAAACAAATCATACTCTGTGGAAGGTTAATCGATGTGGCCATTCGAAGGCTTGTAACAGGAGATGTGGCCAGTGGAAGGCTTGTAACAGGAGATGTGGTAAGTGGTGCAGCAGTGAATGACGTGGTAGTCAGACGAATTGTGATAGGTGTGACTGAAGTTGTTGCAGCAAAAGGAGACGTGGTGGGTAAAGTAGTACTGAATTTGGAAGTTGAAGTAGGGGTAGGGCACATGGACTTTTGCTGTTGTGTTAACCATGCCAGGAAGACAGGAGCAGATGGGCCACCACCAAAAGGACCATTTCATGGGAATGAAGAAAGAAAAACAACTTTAAAATCAAACAACCATAAAACTTTATGCTAACAAAAAAAAGTCGGCAGACAATTTTAGCCCATAAGTGCTCTTCTGCCTATAATAGACAGCAGCATTGGTGTAGAAAACCTATGGAACAAGGGCTCAGTCATTCATTAGACAAGCTTACCGTGTCATCACAGCCAGCTGTTAGCCAATCTTGCCGGTACCTGTCAATGCCATCTGAGCATCTGCATAATATGGTATAGTATCTAGCATGAACACTTTTGCAACACGTTTGTGCTAAAAGAAACTTTTCACGTATATATGTGGTCTTCCTGTGTGTGTGGAGAATACTTAAACAATTCACAAACTCGCGAAAGTATATACACACTGTCTAACCTCTGAAGCTCATCACACCACCCGCATCGAAACTCAGTCATACTAGAGATGTTGGTACACTGCTCACAACTGGTGGCTGATGCACAATCTGGACAAAGACAATGTATATCATCCACTGAGGGTCCATTATAGCTTTCGTCTGCTCTGCTCATGCATGCTCTGCAGTTCAAGAGCAGTGCTAAACTGGACTTGGTAAGGACTCACTGAGAAGTGGAGATAGGATGTAGGCACTGTTGGTCAAGTTTTGATTGCTGTCCAGAGACACTCTGTCATACTCAAATATGGATGTAGTAACACCTAAAATAGTTGACAGAGTTATTATGCTTTAGATTAGGGCAGTATCTCTGTATAACAGGTAAGGGAGAATCATTAGAACTTCTAGGTCAACTTCTTGGGGAAAATATTCTAGTGTAGCCAATTTCAGATGTCTCTAAATGATCCCCTGCTGTACACAGGTACGTAGACATACACAGTTACTTACTGCCTGAAACATTTCGGATGACGTAAAAGGCATCAGAGACTCCAACCTCTACTGGATGATGCTCATTGTCAATCTCATCTAGCAGCAGAGGAATCTGTTGATATAACAGGGCATGGTATGAGATGTTGTTGTCCTGCTAAATGGAAACTTTAATATTTTACGAGCATGATCTATGTTCATAGTTTTATATAATATACCAACCCCTTGTGCAAACACAATCTAACACCTTAGGTAAAACACTAGGTTCAAGGTCTATACAGATCTAGCTTACGTATGTAAGTTAATCTAATCTACATACTTGTTTTACCTCTTGGTACACGAAATGAATCACTCCAGTTGGAAATATGCTGACTTGGAACGTGAATGGCCCATCTGTGCACATGAATAATACGTTTCATATTATAATGGTGGAAAAGAGCAGGGTATAGCGTTAATAAACATACCATCAAGGTGGGCATGATTGTGGATCTTGTCCCACTGCACAGTGAATCTTTCCTCTGTACGCACACGTAAAAAAGATATAATTATGTGTATACACAATATCCACCACCAAACACTTTCTATTGGTATATACATCAAAACCCTTTGAGTCACATGCTATAGTGACAGTGTCTGCTAGAAGTTTCACGCACACGACGCTTAGAGAGGGTTCAGTGTGAAAAAATAAGCTGGAGAGAAACTCTGAAGCTTCTACATTGTAGCAGTAACCAAAAGGTACACTTGCTTATATATAACTACCCCTACTTCCCTCTCACCGGTGCTCATGATCAGGATACGACCAGTGTCAGTGTGACTGGGATTAAAGTCAGCTTGTAGTGGAGCAATGTACTGCGTATGTTGCAGATTTTCATGGAGCAGGTCCCCAGTGTACAGGAACCCTGGTGTGGCAGAGAGATTCATCAAAACCCATCTAAATCTGTCAACTTAGACTGATTTAAATTCCTTGGCAAGACCAAGCTGGGTATCTTTTTTCATTTAGGCAAGCTGTGCAATTAGCCAATCTTTGGACTTCGGCATTCGGCATAATGATGCAAAGGGTGGGTTGGATGCACAGAAAGACTCACACCTCCAGTAGTGACAACGATAGACTCCAGGGTGTGTCCGTAGAATGGAAACTTAAACTGTAACTTGTGAACCTGTAGTCAGGGAATGGTACGTATACAGGCAACACTTACTATATATATGCCGTTATAATCTGTGCACTGTTGTATATGCAGCATATCCCCCACCCCTACCCCAAAACTGCAGTTAGAGTAGCATAAGAAGATGTTTCCTTGTACAGGGACACCTATGTGCATTTGAAATATAAAATGGATGCTGTCTCAGTGCAAATTTTGTGTGAGCCTAAATGGTGCGCATGCGTCCTGAGCCCCAGGTGTTCTGAGCCCCAGGTGTTCCTATGAGTTAGACACCGACCTCATAGAATCTGCGCAGACCAGATAGAACTGATACCGTAGTAAAGTTATCCACCACTGCACCACTGTCCAGCATGGAGGCCAGGTCCTGCCAGAGGACACCCACCATGTCATGAGAGGGAGGGTAGTACGTGGATCTGTAGTAGTCGTGGGTGTCCCTGCTCACTGTCACATTGCTCTGTGTTTATGGATAGAACAACACATACATGTTTATGATGCCCTGATGAAGGTATTTTTGCTAGCCATTGTACCCTGGCTAGGCCTCAGAACAATGCAAAATTGCTGAGTGTATTAGTGGAGTAGCCTGAAGAGGTGTGAAAAGTAACAGGTAATATGAGTGATATTACCTGTTACTTTTCACACTTCTTCCCAATCGACCGGACAGAGTCGTACGGAGCCCCCCGCGGAGTTCCGAGCGCTTCTCCACTCACGTACAGCCCATTGGGTGTTTTTGGCGGTGTTATCTACTTGGAACGAATACCTTTGAAATCTCAGCTATTTCGCTATTTCTTCCTCGGACATAATATATAGTAGGAAAGCGGCTTTCAGGAGAATCGAGGCAACAAGAGTCTTCCTCCAACTACGACGTGAAGTCGGCGGGCGGCGAGGGTGCGCAGGAGCTCCCGCGTGACCTGCACGCCGGGCCCATCCACCAGGCTTCCTTCTCTTTTTCGGAGAGCGTAAGTCCTGGTCCTCCATGACGACGACGCTGTCGGACGTTCCGCTCAGATCAGACGGGACGAGACGACGCTGTCAGACGCTCAGACACGCGCGCGGTTCTCCAGTGTACAAGCTACCAGTAGCACGCCTACTGGCGGGCCTTCCACGTGTATGCGCTCAGTAATCCCTCGGGCTATATACGCCCTCGGGTTTACGCAATATTACTTCGCGCATATACGTGGAAGACACCTGGTAGGCGTGCTACTACTATTACTTAGTGACTGCTTCAGAAAGCTGTGATAATTATTGAGTGCTCATAAATGGTCATAGTACTGATGTTAGACTCTGGTATGCAGTGATATGTTTTGCCTGCAATCCAACAGGCAGTAGCCTGCCAAATAATCAAATCCTCACAGCTACTTCAGCTTTGTAGTGTAAGCCAGAGAGTAGTAATATGTACAAACCTCAGCCCTTGTAAATCTTTCAATTGTGGCTTCCACTGACTGCTGCCTTCCTTCCGTCTCCGCATTCCTATACCTCAGATCTGGCACCATTTAATTAATTAATGTAGAGCAGCAGTGCTGTAACACTTAAAATCTCACACAAGACAAGGTTCTTAAAAAATCTCAAATGTATAGGTATAATGCAGGACAACCTGTCATCCCTATAATACTACGTACTACCGTACTTAGTGATATCTGTACGCACTGCGCCGGTAGCAGCTAGAGACGTTCTATATAGCTCTAGAGATTTTTCAAGCGAGTAAGTATAGTTTCTAATCCATCAACTCACCTAAGCCCCATGTCCAAGATACATGTAGCAGGAAAGTGCTGTAGTAGAGCAGTACAACTACTCGTGTCATTTTCCAGTTCCTCGTCGTCTCGATATCGCTCAAGGAAGTGGCGCGGGCGCATGCGCACCCGCGAACACGGTTACCACACCCCTCTATAAATACATCGCACACGCAGCAAAACAAAGGACCCTCACTGCCTGCCACGCCGAGAAGCGACGCGAGGATGTCTCAAACAGCACTGCTCTGTTGCTGTACTCTCCTGCTACAGGCGTCTTGGACTTTTGGTTCAGGTGAGTGGATCAGACACCCCTGTGTAGCATAGATCAATAGGTACATGTCGGTCTCATCGCAGGTAGCTATCCTATGTAGCTAGCTAGTGTAATCGCGGGGAGAGTCCGCGATACTGCTAGCTAGTTTCAACCTGTTTTCTGCACGGGTTTATACCGTTTTTCAATTAGTCCTTCATCCCAACTATATATACCAAACCCTCTCCCCATTTATGGAGAGACTCTCTCTCTCCTACTGTATCTGTGTATGTACATGTGTGTACCTTTTAGGTCTGAGATATAGCAACTTGGGTAAGGAGGGGAGTCAGCAGTCTGTGGAAACTAATTTTCAGAGATTCACCAGAGATGAGGTACGTATAACTAGCTAGGGTAGCTAAGTAGTAAATATTCCCTCCCTAGCGAGATACACTATCTCTAGCTAATGCTATGTATGGGGATTTTGCTAGAGGTCCAGTCTCAATACGAATTATACACAGTAATCTGAGAGAGTCACACAATGCCTTTAGAGGTGCTGAAACTGCCTCTAGTACAGCTACAGTGGGACATAACATGGGTGTTTAACGTGGTGTTTACCAACATTGCCCAATTCATAGCTTCGGGGTGCCCCTGTGCATGACCGAGACTTCCTTTTACTCTCTGCACTTTGTGTCTTATGTACTAGTATGGAAAGATGGTGGGGGTTTCATGACACATTATCTGACAGCATTTCCTCCAAACTGTAGTATGAGTAATGCTGTGTTTATGATACAGAGCTACAATGAGAGCAACCCAGTGAATACTCTTGTTACACACAATTCAGGCTAGTAGTACTAGGTTCACTCGCTGTACATTGTGGTGTGTATTAGGGAGGGTTTGAGAGGGTGTGCCTTCTGCAGGTATATAGACAACTGTCTGATTGATTTAACAGCAGTCAGTCATGTACTCTCCGTGTGCTAATCCCTGTTTGGACAATGTACACTTAGAGCAGCAACAGTTATTGCCTCTAGGCTAATGAACTAATAGGCTATATAATACTGGAGCAATTGTGTAATCCATTTTGGGGAGCTGAGTCACACGCATGAAATGCGTACACGATTGCGAAACTTCGATTCTGCTTCGTATATTTAGAGTTACTGGTGTAATGGTGCCTTCATCAGATATAGTACAAATCTCAATTAATGTGTGGGCATGATGCTGTGTGTCATCCCTATATATACCAAGAACTACCGAACTTAGTGATACATAGGGAAAGACCGCGCATTCAGACAACTGTAAGCAGTTGCTTGCTTTGCTTGCACATTGGTGTCTTCCTCCACTAAAATTGTGTATTCAACCGCCAGGAACAGAGTGATGTGAATGTGACCAGGGACACCCATGACTACTACAGATCCACCTACTACCCTCCCTCTCATGACATGGTGGGTGTCCTCTGGCAGGACCTGGCCTCCATGCTGGACAGTGGTGCAGTGGTAGACCATTTCACTGACTCCCAGCTCTCTGATCTACACAGATACTATGAGGTCAGTGTCTACCATAATAATATATACACTGTGGCTGTCAGTCTATCTCGTATAGGGATGTATGTATGAGCTGTTAGATCTCTCTATAATGTATTGCTGTCAGTATAACTATTATGTGCCGTTACTGTGGCTGCCTAGTTATGTGCCATGGCTGTGTGTGGCTGTCTCAAATTAAGATGTACTAATTGTCACTACATAATAAGTATATGACATGTCCCTTGGCTCCAGATTGACAGTGCATAAGGTCAGAGTTAGCTGGAATTCCTTTGGTGGGTGTATTCACATTACCACTTTGAATTTCCTTGCAACATCTCAAAAGGGTGTTGAATTTCCTTGCATAGCATAATAGCAACATCTCGAAACGGATACATGTAGCTTAAGTGTGACTTGTGATTGCTTTTACTGTATATACCTGATTTTCTGTGGGACCAGTGCCAGAGTAAGAGAGCTATACAGGTCTTTAGTTAGGTCTTTAGTCTTTAGCAATGTTACGAGAGTGGATTGTGCTGTGCAATATCTGTTCTCTTTCCTGCAGGTTCGTGACTTGAAGTTTCGATTCCCGTTCTACGGCCACATCCTGGAGACGCATAGCTGTCACCACTGGAGGTGTGTGCTCCATCGTTATATGTGACATGTAACTGCTGTTTGCATTCTTCTCCTTCCTTGGCTAGTAGCTTTCTATGTCCCTAACACTTTCATACGTGGAATTGCACTCTGATGTGACATATTCATAGTGTATCAGGTATCAGTATAGCCAAGCATAAGCATAAGCTGCCACATGACTGCCAAGTGCCAGCAAATTCAGAATAATTTTTCATAATGTAAGGTTACACAACACATACATAGAGGGGTTCTGTTACACTGCTAATATCACAGCCCTCCCTTTCTCTCTGTCCAGGGTTCCTGTACACTGGGGACTTGCTCCATGACCAGGTGGCAGCCACTCAGTACATTGCTCCACTACAAGCCGACTTTAACCCCAACCACACTGACACTGGCCGCGTCCTTGTCTTTAGCACCGGTGAGAGAGAAGTGTTGGTTAGCATTGTGTAAGAAGCTAAATGCACTGTTTCATACCTAGAACACTCATTGATATTAAATTCCTTTTTAACACTTGTGTGTCCTATAGTTTCGAAAATGTGGTATATAGTGTGTTATATTGGCACGGGGCATGAAAACAAACAGAGGATACCGCCCGTGAACCCAACAGACACTGTTTATGACCAAGTGCATTGGGAATCCAATATACACACTGACCTGAACGTGAATCACGTGCGGTTGTTTTTCAATACACTGTTGGATGTTTCATCAATTCTGCTCCTGTATAATTATTTTGCTGACTGTCTCTCTTTCTTGTGTGTATATATATACAGAGGAAAGATTCACAGTGCAGTGGGACATGGTCCATAACCACGACCACCTGAATGGTATGTACACACTGACTGATGATCTTAACTAGTCATGTGTCACTGTAATAATAATATTACAGATGGACCGTTCACATTTCAAGTCAGCATATTTCCAAGTGGAGAGATTCATTTTGTCTACAAGGAGGTAAAATATTTTATTATACCCCTAATTGCCGACTACTCAGGGTTGTATTCTCGCGATATGCGTACGTACGTACATACGTGTCGTCACGCTTAAGAATGTCAATTAGTCACGCTTAGGGAATGTCAATTAGTCACGCTTATGAATGTCAATTAGTCACAAGGAAGTGTAACTTCCGTCATTTGTAGGAAGTCTAGCTTCGCACGCAGTCAGTAGAGAGCGCGCACGAGTGACCTCAGTCGGACTGTTTACGCATTGGCTGGCAAGCGCGAGGCAAAATATGCTCGTGTGCATTCCTAGTTATATGTATTATGCTTCCCATGGTACATAAGCAGTGCAGCATACAGACAATTACTTGAAGGAATTTTACATGTCTGTTTTTTTGTTGACTCTGTATAATGTAGTCGGTTTAGCTGTGCATTCCTGTTGCTGTGAGCCTTGATTAGCTGTGCATTCCTGTTGCTGTGAGCCTTGATTAGTTGTGCATTCCTGTTGCTGTGAGCCTTGATTAGCTGTGCATTCCTGTTGCTGTGAGCCTTGATTAGCTGTGCATTTCAAGCCACCGTACAATGCCATGCTGTTCTTTCTCCACAGGTTCCACTACTGCTGGAGGATATTGACAACGAAAATCATCCAGTTCAGGTCGGAGTCTCTGATGCCTACTATTTCTATGAGAGGGTCCCCGATGGTAGGATACAGTATTGCACAAATCATTATGTTCATGGTGCTCTCAGAAACACTTACCACGTTTTCTGGGGTACGTATGCGTAACGTCACACCAGCAATTCATCACCACTTACTGGTCGCCAGGAATAACACATGCGGGTGCTTATAATACACCACACAAAATGTCACCCACATTGCTCGTTCGTGGTATAAGTAAGTCACATGGTATAAGTAAGTCACATGGTATAAGTAAGTCACATGGTATAAGTAAGTCACATGGTATAAGTAAGTCACATGGTATAAGTAAGTCACATGCTGATCAGGTACTATGTATGGAGAATTCTGTATGGTGGAGTACTGCGTTTTGATGTAGTCTGCTTTCGTGCTCCTCTGTTTAAGTTTTAACCTGTTCCATACAGGTATCCTGGTGAACATATATGAGTATGACAGAGTGTCTCTGGACAACAATACAAACCTCACCAACAGTGCCTACATCCTATCTCCACTTCTCAGTGAGTCCTACATGTACATACCACGAAAAGGCAACAAAAGAGAGTTTAAGGAAACTTAAGTACCCAATGCGAGGAAAATTCTGTTGGGTCCATTGTGAAAGTACCCACACACAAAGCAACCAGTTTTATAAGGCCTGTTTTTGGGGTTTGCTCCACATCACGATAAGTTTTAACACAATCCAACAGCATAGTAAAACCTTCAAGATTGCTGCAGGTAATCTGCTTTAGTGCTTGGTTGGAAGTGCATGCATGAAGGTATGTATAATGCGCATGCACAGTTCCCAATTTAACTGTCTCTTGTTATTATACTGTATAATCTCTCTCTGTAGACTGCATATCGGCCACCAGCTGTGAGCAATGTTCCAACATTTCCAAAGTCAGTGATTTTGACTGTGGGTGGTGTGGTGCACTGCAGAGGTGAGACAATGTGTTCTAGAATAGCCTCCTATAATAATATGTCCAGTGTTCTTACCATGGCTTGTGTATAACCACGTTTAGGACTTGTATATTTTGTGTATAAAGGGGTGCAACAGCTATTTGAGAATGTGTCCATCTACATGGCTGTCTGCAGGTGCTCCGATGGTATTGACAGACACAGACAAGTTTGGTACAACTCTGGCTGTAATCAGGAGGTATGTATATCACATTTTCATTAACACAAGGGCTAAAGGAGCTGTATATAGCTGTATGTGTGCTTATGCAATTCGCGTGTGTGACATCTACGTACGTACTGTACTAGAACGACTGCATTAACGAGTGAACCCGAGTGTGAAATTTCTGTTGTATTACGGTTTGTATCAACATCACTTGTGCTTGCTGTTGCACATATAATTGTATGACTTTGTGGTTTACTGCTTTATTTTCTCATCTACTGGTACCTGTTTCTCCGTGTCCTCGCTCCTGTACCACTTGCTGTCATCTCTTGGCTCACTGGCGAGACAGCAACAGAGCATGTGTAAGAAACCTACCACCAGTGCCACATCTCCTTTTACCACCACCTCTACTAATACCAACCTTCCACAAAGTACAGTTTGTCGTGTGTCTGTCTGTGTAATATTTAGTTCATGCAACAACTACAATAATTATAGAAGCCTAGGTTTTTGTATTGCCTTCCAAGCATGAAGGCATATGCGTAGCCGCGTACTGTTTCCTACTGACATTCCCCCCTTTTCCTCTTTCATTCCCCACTTCCCTCCCTCTTTTTTCCTCCTCCCTCTTTCCTTTCCCCACCTCCCTCCCTCTTTTTTCCTCCTCCCTCTTTCCTTTCCCCACCTCCCTCCCTCTTTTTTCCTCCTCCCTCTTTCCTTTCCCCACTTCCCTCCCTCTTTTTTCCTCCTCCCTCTTTCCTTTCCCCATCTTCCTCACATTATAGGCACTGGAAGCCCCTCCTCCTCCACACTGACAACCTCGGCTAGAGCAGGGATAGGAGCAGGGGTTATTGTGGTGGTACTGCTATCAGCATTCCTTCTACTTGGTCTGGCTCTGTTCCTGTACGCCTACCGCAGACCGACATCGAGAATGGGACAGTTTATCATCAAGGTGACTTGTTGGCAAACTGTTGTGCAAGCAAGGGTGTCTAGCGTCGCACCATTGTCAGATAGAAAAATCAAGACACACAGCAAACACAAAAATAAAGGACCAAAATGCAAGAACACTGTACAGACCAAATATAATGGCATATGCCAAACAAAGAGTCTGTGTGTTTGGATTTGGCCTTGCTTGCATACCGCACTAACGATTCATGCATGATGTGCTTCTGTTTTCTCCAGCATCGGCCAAAGGCCCGGTCCCTCAACAAGAGCAGTAGTACCAGTTATGACGTCTCTACAGAGAAGGCCACACTGGAGGAGGAGCTTCAGTAGTGCCAGTATGGGAACATTCTCCGTGCACCAGACAGCACTATAATGTCGTATATACGCTCCACATTATTTGTGTGTTGATTTTTAACCACATCTTTTTAAGTATCCATGACTATCGTTTAGTGTTAACACGATCAGATGAGGCATAATTGGCGAGCGGGAGCGAGCTAACCTAGTGGTCCAAACGGCGCGATTTTTCTATACGACCGACCGTACGTCGTGTAAGTGCGCATGCGCGGCTTCGTTACGCGCTTCTTTTTATCCGAAATAATTTCCTATTTTTTGCTACCGGCGCATGCATCAGCTAGGATAACGCGCTTCTACACGCTGCTATGATGGCTCGTGCAGACACAGTCATTGTGTGCTCGCTCCCGCTCGCCAAAAATGCCATGCATTCGCCTACTAGTATTCCTAGTGAGTGTGACTTGAAGTAAACATCTGATAATGTAGGGATGTTATATACCTGTTGCTTCAGAATGACAAGAAAGAGTGTAAAATACATATTTTCCCAGAAGGACTGCATTCAAAATATCTACCAGCCAAAAGCCAATATTATTGGCGAGCGGAAGCGAGCTAACCTAGTGGTCCAAACGGCGCTATATATAATTATATACGTCCGTCCGTACGTCGTGCTGTGTCAGAAGTACGCGCTTCTTTTTATCCGAAATAATTTCAAATTTTTTACACGCTCTTGCTGCGAGCCAGGGAGAGAACTCTCGTCCATTCGGCGGCATTCGCTGCACTCTTTGGTGCCTTACTGAGGCTTGCAATCTTCGTGGTTCCAAGCTGCAAGTTGTAAGTAGCCTAGGTTGGCTCGTGCGGATATAATCATTGTGTGCTCGCTCCCGCTCGCCAAAAATGCCGTGCATTCGCCTACTAGTTCTTCTCAGCAAAATTAACACTCAATTATTTTTTCCTATGTACTGCCATTCATCCCCTACATTGGGGGCAAAGCTCATGAAGTTCAGTTGCAGTTCAGTTCAGTTCAGTTCAGTTAATTAGGGCAGGGGCAACTTATGAATTAACTGATTCTGTCTTGATTGTTGGCTCTGCATTATCATAAGCCTCGATCCGCTGCATGAAATCAAACAGCTCACATTTCACCTAGAACTGGGAGGAGAATGGAAAACAGAACTGCAATAGGGCTTAACAAAACACAATCATGCATTATAAGAGCTCACTTAGGTAGGATTCATAATAATATCGTGTGTCTATGCAGTTGGCGGAAGCTCTTTATGGGAACACTCACCAGAAACACTATCTCTGGCAAACATTTTCAGAGGACCATGCTACTCAGATTCATCCAACGAATGCCACGCAACCCTATCTCCTTACACGTCTATTTATGTGGGTTTACATAATTTACAATTTGGCAGATGTCATGAGAGTCAATACTAGTCTGACAATGGCTATTCAAACTCTACGACAATAGCTATTCAAACTCTATGACAACGAATGCCACTTCAGTACTGCTCAGTGCACTGCAGGAACAGCAATGATGCGTTCTAAGCAGATTTTCGCAGCTCTTTCGATGTGTTTCGTCCTCGCGTGTTGCTACGGAGTGCACTTGCTGTCTTCAAACACGGTATTCTACGGTGAGAGGCCACGTAACGTATATACGCATGTATTATTAATTAAAACCCTTCGGTGCCCATGCGCAGCGAGGGTTGTGTGTCTGTTACTCTCAATCTCACTTCTCACTGTGTTTGTTCGTCTCACAAAGGATACGACCTTAACGGGCAATGAAGGTCAGAAAATATGCAAATACGCGCTCTGCGTACTTCGGATGCACCAGTTATGTTATTGCACCTATCATTCTCTCGATAGCTATAATAGCAAGTGTGCCTCATAGTCCGTGACATTGATTTCCTCTAAAAACAGCGTGTAACTTGTGCGTCTCACGTAATGACTCGCAAGAGTTTTCTACCGCTCGGACTCAGAGAAATTTTCTCCTCGTGCAAATCAACAACAAAAGGTTAATCAGCTAGTTGGAAATGTGTATACTTCGAAACGGGAGAGTTCCACAGGTTTCACAACCCCCGCTTTGCGGCGAATGTGCGCATATAGTGTCTACAGCATAATTATAGTGTCTACAGTGGAAGAGCGTACTGACGATCGCTTGGTGGCCGTGCACACCTTCGTGGAATTTTAGTGAAATTGCGTACGTATTTTCCCGTGGAGAACTAAAAGTGTTTATAAAGTCTTTTGCCACATTTTTAGTCTTTGGGCTTTTATAGCTAAGCATCCCAATGCATGCTGCTGTTGAAGCATATTTTGACATTTCAAACCTTTATAGAAAGGTAAAGTCCAACAACACATAAAAAGAAGCGCGTACAAAGCCGCGCATGCGCACTTACAGGACGTACGACGTACGATAATAAACAGAAAATTCCGCTCGAACGAACGACTAGGTTGGCTCGCTCCCGCTCGCCAATTAAAAACTTGCGCCATCCTCAGAACAAACTGTATTATCATACTAAACTAGTAGAAATGCATGCCTATTCATTGGTTTTAGAGAGAATAATGGAGGGACAGAGACTATCAGCTTATGTGAGTGAAGATGATAACATATGTACATCTCCCATGTGTATGAGAGTGAGACAGACACAAAAGGTTCTGTTCGACCTTGTTCCACGAAACTTCTTCACGGAAGTATCGCAACCCTTGCTGGAACTCCTCACTCCATATACCACATAACCTTTCTCAATACTTTTCTAAGTTGTGGTTCCCAATGTTTAATGACAATACTACCATGAACAAGCCAGTGATTCGAGAGTTTAACGTCAGCCAGTTTCTCTCTAATAGACATAACCAAAGTCAGCTTGAGCAGAGGATCTACTGTCTCCCATTTGTGTATCTCGCTGGATTCCCCAAATGTGGTACTACGTCCCTGTATCAGATGCTAGTACAACACCCATTGGTGGCAAAACCACTCAGAAAAGAAGGGCATTTCTGGTACACTTTCACTGAGTACAGTGGTACTTACAAAGACAAGTTCATACACAGCCTCTTTCACCTCCACCAGTTTCAGGACGCTGCGCAGCAGATTGCTAAATCTAGGTGCAGTATTACAATAGATGCCAGTGTCTCAACACTTACGAAAAGTTATCATCAGTTTGAAGATGAATCAGATATGTCTGTGGTACCTTCTGTGATCAATGAGCTGACACCTACTGCCAGATTTATTGTCATAATGCGTGATCCTGTCAAGAGACTTTTTTCTGACTTTTGGTACTTCTGCTCACTAAGAAGCTGGGTCAAAAACAGTGTGCCAAAGTACTATCTTGAAAATGGGAGGCAAGTTTTTCACAACTTTACAGCTGAGGCAGTACATGACTTTCGTGACTGCATTGCTGACGAAAAGGTTTTGTTACTTTATGAGTGTGTACGTAGAGTCTCTTACGTAAAAGAAAGTGACTGCCGTAAGGTGCGGCTCGGCATAGGCATGTATTACTACCACATAACCCGTTGGTTGAGGGTAATTCCCAGAGAAAGGTTCCTCTTTCTGAGGTCTGAGGATTTGTCTCTGGATCCATACTCAACCATGGAGAAAGTTTCTGGACCTCCCTCCTCAAACCAGGCAACAGGTGGAGGCTTCTCTCTCCAAAAGACGCGAGTGGAACACAAACGACTGGATAAAGTCAGAGAAGTATAGGGAGAGGTTTGCAATGCTGCCACAGACAGAGAGAATGCTGAGAGAGTTCTACAGACCTCACAATGAGAAGTTGGCTGAGCTCCTCTCTGATCCACATACTCTGGAACTGACA